CTAGACCTGTACTGTCCCATACAGTAGCCATTAACTACCTGTGGCAATTTAGATATAAATTAGTTCAAATAAAATTTTAAAACTCAGTTTCACAGTTGCACTGCCTACATTTCAAGTGCTCATTAGCCACACGCAACCAATGGTGACTATATTGGACCACACATATAGAATATTCTATCATTGCAGAAAGTATGGGCAGTGCTGGTCTAGACTAACTGACACCTCGTTTTACAGGTGAGGACAATGAAACCCAAAATCCCTAGACCTTATTTTGGAAAACTCTATTTTAAGGTGTTAAAAATCCAAATATTTAAGACCATATCATCAACATGTACCTTGAAGAATCCAAAATGAAGGGAAGAGGGGCAGGAGATGGTATTTGGGGGGTACACCTAAAAGGTCCTGTTGTGGCCTCAGATTCTTTGGTACATTAAGATGAGTGTCTTGGAGCAGCATAGAATGCTTGATGTATCCTGAAGAGTAGTTATTGGTAGGAATAACCGTCACTCAATGAGGTCTTAGAGGTAACAACACTAGTCTTGGCTTTGAACATTGCCCATTAAGAAGACACAATCAGGCAGAAAACAATGAGAAAACATAGAATAAGTGATTGAATATGCTGGCTATTAGAGCCAGATTTCAAGCCATGTGACTTCTCTGGGCCTCAGTTGTCCTCATCTATTAAATGGAGATGACCATTTCTGCCTTTACCTCACAGGATTAGATGTGGGAGTTAAAGAGGATAATGCAGTATCTGGCACATGGTAAGTGCTCAAGACATGTTATAGACCTCCTTAGCCTGTCTTTTTAAAGCATAGTTACTAATTAATTACAATGCCAACTTGCCCATGATCACAGGACCAAAAGTCAATTTGTTAAGAAATAAGAACAGTTCAGTCTGTAATTTGAACCCTGACTGATGGTTTTATTGATTTTAACGTCATCCCCCCCCCCCCCCCCTTGGCCTCCCTCTCTTTGCCAGATACTCTATTTGGGAAAGTAGCAGAAGTCCTGGCTACAAGTCTTAGACACCCCCAACAATGTGATGTTGACTAAGTCATTTTTGCTCCCTGCATCCTTAGTTTGCTCATCTGCAAAATGAGTGCAACGGTATATGGATTCCACCCTCTCTGGATTGTGAAAAATCATGAGAGAGAATAGAGGTAAAAAAAAAAAAAAAAAAAAAAAAAAAAAGCTTTCTAAGAGCTCTAAATTGCTACCACAAATTACATTATTCATGTAATTTGAATCCATATCTGAAATATAAAAAGACCAAGTTTTGTGGTCTCCTTTCAAAACTGAACCCTCTGATACTTTCCTTACAAACCTGTTTCTACTAAGCATAAACAAATGAGCCAGAGCTGATGTTTACTGAGAAGAATCTTGGTTCCCCTCACATGGATTGAGTCATAAAATCAAAATCGCCGGGGAGACAGCCAGAGAAGAATGCCTCTTTATATTCCCTGATCCACAAAGTCCCCTCCCCACAACTTAGAGAGTCTGTCATAGGGGTGTAGCCATTTGGCCCAAGTTCTACTTCCTCTTCCCTCAGAAATGTAGTTCTAGGTTAATCTGACCCGGAAGGATGGACTTAAAGAAATAAGTCCTTTGGGCTTAACCCCAAAGGATCATTGTGGAACACACAAAAAGGTCTTTAATGCCACACCCTGTGTGGAGTTGAAGTCTTCTTGAGGGCAGGGCTAATGTGGCCTTGGGCTTGGGTCTCCAGGGCTCCTCAGGCTTCGCTGAGCCACAAAAACCTGAGTAGCCTCCTCTGACCCTCAGCTTAAGTCTGTATCTGTTCCACCAACACTCTCAGCATCAGCTCAGCCCCAAAGTAGCCTTGGGAGCCAATGGGCAGAGGCAGGAAGGAGAGCTGTAGGAATGGAATAGCTCCACAAGTGGGCCCGGGCCCTGGACCCAACAACAGCAAGGATGGGAATGACGAAGGTTGGAGAGGAGAGAGGGAAGGTGAAGCTGGCTGGGAGCCTCCAGAAGCCCAGCGCTCCAACTCACACAGAGATTCTGAAGGCTTCCAGAGTCCCCGGCTGAAAGACAACCCCACATTGTTCCACCCAGCTGCCTGCGGAGAGTGGAGGTGTTATGAAAGCAGCTCCACGCAAAGGTTTGCCAGATTGTTTCAGCAATAAATCTACTTTGAGTAAGTGATGAAAATAGCTGCAGGACCCTTTAAACCATCGATGAAAGATTCGTTAACCATACCGAAGTCATCTGTTGACTCAGATTCTTCCTGAGGGCTGTGCAGACAGGGTAAGTTCGGAGAGCTAAACAGCCAACCCACCACAGTGCTCTTGGCAGAGGTTTTTCCACAAGTAAACAACCAGCAGACAGCCAGGAAACCAAGGGCTTCAGACCCAGAGCCTCAACGACAATAGAGCAAGGCTGCAGGTCCCTCTGCCATAGTCACACCACTGTTATCCACCAGTCCCTCGCAGTTTACAGAGGGCTTGGCCACATTCATGATCTGATTTGAGCTCCATACAACTCTGCAAAGAAGCGAGGGCAAGAACTCAGTATCCTCGTTATACAGAGGAGGAAACTGAGTCCAAGAGAGGAAGACTCAACCCTTGAGGAAGGGCAGTTCTATTCCTCAAACCTGGCTGATGGCTGGCTCTAGCAGAGATGAGGCAGGAGCAACAAGGGCCTTGACCAACACTTTTGCTCAGAAAAGCAAGAAGACAGGCAGCTAACAAGACTATGCCAATCCCCAGTGTCACAAAACTGACCTACAGTTCACCTCTGTAGGTCAGGAGGGCTCGATGAATGGGAAGCTGGGGCTGGTGGACCCAGGGCCCAGGGCTCTGTTGCCAATAACTCAGCCATCAGGGGACTCTTGCCGCCACTCAGGAAGCAGCTCTGGTAGGAAGATGAAACCCAGGCAGAGGTACCATTTCAGATGGACTACCCTCTGTCATTGTTCTTCTTGACTCCAGAGGAATGCACCCTCCCTTCGCCATTTCTCGGGGTCCTCCAGAGAAGAGTACTTTGAACCTGTTGACCACTGTTTCCCAAAGTGCCACCTGTAGAGCCCTAGCACTGCCAGATGCTCCGTGAAAAATGAAAAGGGTTTCATGGTCAAATACATCTGGGAAATGCGGCATGCCATCTTCTCCTCGTGGAGAGGCACGGTGCACACTTAACTATGGACCATTTTCGAGAAGTTCTGTAGGTAAAGTAGCCAGTTTAACTTTAACTCATGGGTTTCCAAACTTGTTTAATCACAGATCTTCCCTAGACTTTTCACCTCATCTAGCTGTAGTCTCTAGGAAAAAAGAAAAAAAGAAGAAAAAAAAAGAAAAAAAAAGCTTTGGACATAGAATTGGAAAAGTCTTGGTTCAAGTCCTATATCTTCCTAGTTGTGGTGAGCCTGTCCAGGAAATTTAATTAATTTTGAGCCTGAATGACCTATTCTGGGAAATGGAGCTGTCATCAGACATATCTCACAAGGTTACTGAGAATTAAATGAGTTAAAATGTAAAAATGCTTTCTGAACTCTAAGGGGTATATGTGTGTGTGTGTGTGTGTGTGTGTGTGTGTGTGTGTACAAAATGACTGGTTCAGAGCAGCATAGACAACCATGCACCTATCTTAAATAAATGTATTTGTCTTAAATAAATGTGTCTGATGCCAATGAGAACAGGAAATGGGGAGAATGCCACAAATGGAAGTGTAGAGGAAAGAGGAATTTCATGGTGGATAAAGTCAATGACACTACTGTTTCACTTTTATTTTTATTTACTTATTTTTGCCCTGTTGGTTTGCCCAACTTGTTCCTCCAAACATGGAGTCTTGTAGCCCAGAAGGATGCAGGTGGGGCTCTTGGCCGTTCCCCCGCTGTGGCCTGCCCACGCATCCTGCCCACTCCAAGCTTTCCCCTGGTCTCACACATGGAAGTCGCCAGGCAGATTTTTTACACACAAAGGACTGTGCATCTTCTACCAAGACCTGGTGGGTATACTAGATGGAAGTCCAAAGGTAGCTGTGCTTTTACGTGGCTTCCCAACATGCTGTCACCCATCTTTACATGATGGATGAACTTCTTTGTATTTTCTCGAGGTCTCACACCAGCCCTCTAAGAGTGAGCTAGCTATGGGACACATGGGCAGGGATATGCAACAATGATGGAATCTTAGTTATCAACCATCTCTTATAGCAGAAGAAGTTTAGAAGACGCTGGGTGGGAGCTCTTGCCTCTATAACCGTTTCCATTCATTTTATTTGGAGCCTTTGGTTCTGGTGAATCCTTATCTGGAGTTTTTGGAGTTGTAACAGGAAAACGCTGCCATGGTCCATGTTTATTCTGGATGACCACATTAGCTGCTACCCACAGCTAGAGGATAACATGGGCTTCTTGATTGCATACATGGGCTTCCTTCTGAGCTGTGGAGAGAAGTTTCTCTGTATTACCTCCCCTGCTCCCTTATCTGTTGTGTATTCCATTCAGGAAGAAATACTCCAAAGAGGTCCTGGCCACCAAATACTATCCTCTCACAGAAGTCCACCTAGGTCATATTGGTGAACAGCATACAGAAAAAGCCAGCAGAAGCTACCACAAAGCTTCACCTAATAGTCCACTTCCCATTCCTTTGACATCTGATCAAATATATAGACTTGCCTTTGTCTTTATGTTATTAGAAAATTCTGCTGAGCACCACTACTCAGTGATGCAAAAAGACAGACATTATTTTGATAGAAAAGAAGAAAAAGGAAAAGGAGATGAAGAAGAAGAAAAACACTACTTATATATCAAATGTCAAGCTTAGTTAAATGTCATTCTTTCTTTCATCCATAATAAAATGTCTTATTGTAATAAACAGCCTTAGAGATCTTGCTTTTATAACCATGTTTTTCTTCCCCAGCTACAGGGGAGATTTCTTCCTTGGAGCCACAAGTCTAGCCACAAGTTCTGCCTGTTAAAGGAGCCTGCTCTGTTCCTGTACAAAGCCTGTTGACAGAAATGTGTGTCTGTCTTTCCTTAGGACACATCGATAGAGAACCACCATCGTCTGCAGGTTTCAAAGGAAAACCACAATGAAAAAACACTGCAAACCTCCAGGAGGGCCTCTGGGCACGCCCACATTGATCACGCTTGGCTCATGAGTGACAAACCCATTACATCCTATGGCAACTCCTTCCCCAATAGGAATGCAGATCTCAGCGGTAAGAAGCCAACTGTCTTGCTTGTGAATTGAGTGAACCTAATCATGCAGAGTTCATTTGAGAACAGTGATGCCGGTTGAGTGTCACTTCCTTATGCCACTCCCTTAGAAAATAACAGTCAAAGGGATCAATAGGAGGAAAGGGATATATATAATACTTTAAAAAATAAATTAAAAAAAAAAAGAAATGAGTTAAACCCAGACGATGTGGCTCAGTAGTTGAGCATTGACCTATGCACCAGGAGGTCACAGTTCAATTCCTAGTCAGGGTACATGCCTGAGTTGCAAGCTCAATCCCCAGTGAGGGACATGCAGGAGGCAGCCAATCAATGCTGATGATTCTCTCATTGATGTTTCTATCTCTCTCTCCTTCTCTCTTCCTCTCTCTCTAAAATCAATTAAAACATATTTAATAATAATAATAATAACAGCCAAAGTTCTATTAATAATAATAATAGCTAAGGTGGTAGAGCATCGGTCTGCGGACTGAAAGGTCCCAGGTTCGATTCTGGTCAGGGGCATATACATTGGTTGCGGGCACATCCCCGGTAGGGGGTGTGCAAGAGGCAGCTGGTCGATGTTTCTCTCTCATCGACATTTCTAGCTCTCTATCTCTCTCCCTTCCTCTCTGTAAAAAATCAATAAAATATATTTTATAATAATAATAATAATAATAATAATAACAGCCAAAGTTCTATTAATAATAATAATAGCTAAGGTGGGAATGGGACTGACAGGCTCTTTGTCTAGAACTCAATGGCAAACATTCTGCAATCAGACTGCCTGGGTTAAAATTCTCCCCCCTTCTTTCCCCCTCCCCCCACTCCCCACTTTTCTAGCTATTATCTTGAGCATGTTATTTAATCCTGCTGAGGCTCAGTTTTCTCATCTGTAGATTGGGGATAATAATAACACCTCTATAAGTCTACTGTGGGGATTGAGTTAATGTATGTAAAATACTTTGCTCAATTCTTTTCCATATTTAGCACTCAATATATATCACCTATTATTGTTTATTATTATTATTATTATTACCATTCTCTCTATCACCTCTCTCAGCCAGCAAGACCCCAACCAGACTATGAGATGAGGGCTCCCTGAACCCACCCATCCAAAGCCATGGCTGTCTCAGTGCTCCATCATTCTCTTCGCCTCTTCCCGTTAACCCCAAAATGATAACAGCTAAAAGCCAACGTGTCCCTCCCCATACCTGCAACTAATAAATTCTCGTTCCCATCCTGTTTCTACAGACAAACAAGGGAACATGAAACTCCACACGGGCGGCGGCAGCCACTGGTCACAGGAGCCTCCTGCTGAAAGATGCCTTTTCCCTCCTGTGGCCTCTGCCACTGACTCAGAAAAACACACACCTGGGGACAGGAAGAAGAAAAAGGTTGTGTGTGTGCATGTGTGAGTGTGTGTGTGTGGGGGGGGGGTGTACCCGTGCAAGCATGCACTTAAAAGACTCATCTCCATTTAGGAACGAGGTGACTGAAAGGGAGGTCTCAAACAGAGAACTGGTCTTACCCACTCTGACCTCACCGTGTGGAGCTGGAAAAAGCTGCAGTGATAAATGTTGAAAATAGTGAAGTCCAAGGAATTTTAGCTGCCGCTAATTCCACCTTAACCCATTTGATGTTACTGCACTCTCTAGCGGCAACAGAATCCTTTGTTCTTCTAAGGGGCTGCGGGTTATCTGTAAATGAGTACGGACAGAATTTGAGCCCAGCCAGCATAGCTCAGTGGTTGAGCATCGACCAAGAGGTAACAGTTCGATTCCCGATCAGGGCACATACCCAGGGTTGCAGGTTTGATCCCCAGTGGGGGGCATGGAGGAGGCAGCCGATCAATCGTTCTCTCTCGTCATTGATGTTTCAATATCTCTCTCCCTTTCCTCTATGAAATCAATTTTTAAAAAATACTTTAAAAAAAAGAACAGAATTTGAGTTTGTAATTAATCCACTTCAAACAGAAAATGCTAGAGATCTTAAATGCAGCAGTGGTTTTGCATAATGGAGGGTCTGTCACCTTTGAAAATGTAGGGTAAAATTACAGATTTAACAATCCCTTCAGGAATCAAGGACACTCTCTTCCTTAGCGATGTTATTCGCTGTCTCTGGCCTGGTCCCTCCTTGCATGTCTATCTGGGTTTGGGGTAGTTTGGAGGCACCCATGCTGAGTGGGAACCCACAGGGGACCAGAATGCTCTGCCCCAAAGCAGCTGTGTGAGCTCAGCAGGTCGCTCCCCCTCTGAGCAAAAATGATCTCGTCTGCATGATGGATAATTTCGCCAACCTCATATGCCTAATGCAAGGAAGAGAGGACATGATGTGTTTTGGTGAAAGTATCTTGTGTCCGACTGGGAAGGCAGTTAATTGTGGAGACTCGTGTCATCTGAAGTGGCCCTGGAGGAGCCACAGGCACTCCGGGTGGTTCTGGTGCCAATGAGGGAGGCTGTGCAGGATTTTCTCTGCGTTCCTGTGTCCTGACCTTAACCTTTCCAGCCACCCAAGCAGGGCTTCCGTCTTCCCAGGAGAAAGCAGCAGGCATGACCTGCAAGAGTCCCCCAGGCCCGAGGCACTTCCCCAATCTCACACCAGCTCAGCCCAGCACTGAATCAGCCCAGCGGACATGAGTCCCTTCCCTCAACCCACGCGCATGGTTTACAGAGGAGAGCAGTATTTTCCACTACATTAAAACTGTAAATTTTTAATTAAAATAAAGAAATTAAGGCTTGGCTTGTCAGCCCTACCTCACACAAGTCATTTGAGTTTTCACGTAGATTTCTCAATGCAAACCTTGTCACACAGAACGCACAAGGTCAGTATTCAGAAAGGGGCAGTTGGTGGGCAGCTGGCACCAGGGCAGTGAAGTCTCCAGGAACATAGAGATTCTATGTGCGTGCATGCGTGCGTTTGGTCAATCATTTTCTTACTGTCTCCGAATTATAAATATTAACTCTGCATAGATTGGGTTGAATTTCCTTCCTTATTCAACTCTAAACATGTGGGACGCCTACGTGTGTTTCTGATCGTTTTTCTCTTTTGGAGCATTAAAAAAGTGAGGAACGTTTTTTATTTTTCCTCCTGTGAAACTGAGCTCCCTGAAACCCAGCACGCATATACATTTCATAGAGCCAAGTTCTCCTGTTAAAAGCTGCAACTAAAAGGAGAAATTTTCGGCAACTTCTGGATAATTGGAAACAGTAGTCTTTAAGTACCATTCCTAGAGTTTCTATCTCTGTACACACACACACACACACACACACCATTTGTCTGGGGATGGGAGGGGTTTGGCCACAAAAACTGGGCTAAAGTTGTGGCTGATTCTGACAGACAGTGATTCTTTTTAGCTCTGCTCAGATTACAGAATATAGATACATAGATTTTCTGCTAGTGGCGAGATGGAGTATTAAACCCTAATGAGAGACAAGTCTACTCTCAAAGAAATATAGAAATGAACTCAGTTCCAAACACTATTGTAACTACACATCGCTAGCTCATTTAATCCTCGTGGCACTTTTTTGAGGTCGATAGTATGATTGCTCCCATTTTACAAGAGGAAGAAATTGAGGCTTAGAGAGGTTGTGTAAGGCAAGCAAACACAAATGTATATTCCTCTTTTCTGCTCTTTCTTACCTAAATGGTTGCATAATTAATGGTCTGCTCCTTGATTTTCTCCCATCCTTGAGATTTCTCCCTCTCCAAACACAGAAATCTCAGCTCTATCGTTTCAATCTGGCTCCGTTTCCCCAGTTGCAAGAGAAGGAAAGACTATCTTTCCTCTCAAAGGCTCTTGAATTAATCACGTTTACACTTCTGAGAAGGGTCAGAGGCTGGATTAACGAGGGCAGGGCTGAGTTCCCGTTCTAGTCAGATACCGGGGTCCCAGGTTGGTTAGCTTTACTTCTCAGCCATGGGGACCCCACCCCCCACCCCCCACCAGCAGCTCTGGGTGCTAGAGATCCAGTGAGATCAATGCCATTTGTCCCTGCAGGCAGCCGGCTTTGACTGCCTGCCATGTTGGTCTTTGTTTTGCTTTTGCATTTTCTCCAGGCTTCAAAGACCTCGAAATTACCTCCCATCTCCCAAGAGCCACCGGGAGTCCGGGACCCCCTGCAGGACCGATCTAAAGGCAGAGCGCCCCCAGCCGAGCTCCTCGTCTTCCCAGGGGAGATTCATTTCCACACCCGGCACCCCGCAAAGGAGAAAGTGCCCCAAGGAGGTGGGTCCCCTGTGGGTGGGTGCTCCTGGGGGGACTCAGGCCGGCCAGGAACAAGTTTCAGAAACCTAACTCAAACCGTCTTAAGCAAAACAGTCAGGTATTCGCTCATGGCGTTGGGTGGTGCCCGGATGAGCCAGCTCCAGGCTCAGCTGGATCAGGGCCTCAGAAAGTGCCATCTGGGCGCTATCTGTCCAACTCTCTCATCTCTGTTAGCCTGGAGCAGGCTGTCCCCATGGGGAGGTAAAGATGGCCTCCCCAATGCCATGCCAACCTCCGACCTGTTACCCCCACTCAAAAGGAAGCTGATGTGGGACCATAGATAAATCCGGACTGTATGATGCCGTTTGAGGGAATAAAGAGGAGAAACTGAAAGGGTTTTATTCCTTTTCTAAAGTGTTGAGGCCTTTCTAATGTAGCTATTTTTCTTGTATCTTTTCTACTTCACTTGGTGTGCTGGGTCCATGGCTAGTACTGCATTGGCTCTGTGAAAACACTTTTAAATCCCAATTCTGTCCTGATCTTACCAGATGCTTCTATACTTGAATGGTTACTAAAACTGCAGAGCCGTTTAAAATTGAATAAATAAATAAAGGCTATGCCTCTAAACGCTCTTACAAAAGTACCAGGATGGCCTCTGAGTGCGTTACGTGCCCACCCTGGACCCAGTCACTAGGGCTAAGGTGACGAGGTGCTCTCCTTAGCCAGGCTTCAGCCCCGTGTGCATCCACGGGTGCAGGGAATGGACACAGCTCCCCCCAAACCGCGTGGCGCAAGCAAGGAAGAGATGGGTCCCTCCAAGAAGAGGCAGCTGGCAAAAACCACAGGCATTGACCACAACTTGGCTTCCTCCTCGTCTCCCAGGTGCTGCGCCTGCTGAGTCAGGACCAGAAACAGAGGAGCCCAGTCCTCCCCGGAGGCCTCCCCTGAAGCACGCGTCCTCGGAAAGGCCGGCGGAGTTAACGGCGGGTCTCCCGGTGGACGTGGACAGGGCCACGCTCTCGCCTCAAGGTAGCTGCTCCCGCCCTCCAGCCTCCCCAGGAATCTCAGCCCCGAGGGAAGCCGGGCGAAGCACAGAAAGGTCCTCGGCCATGCAGAAGGAGGCTGGGAGGGACGCGGCCACTTGACGATGGCTTTTGCTGGGCCAGCAGCTGCTTTACCCAACACGCAGCGGGAAAGCCAGCCTGGTGCCTAGTTCATCCGTCACTCATTAGCTCATCCCCCTCCTGACACTTAATCATCTCTGGTCGCAGATGTAAAACAGCACCAAACTGACTACAACTGCTGCATACTCTATAGTTTATCCTATGCTTTTCACAATACGATTTCACTTCTGATCTCTTTAGGAGTCTGTAGTTACTCATTAAAAAGTCCATAATAGCAGTAATAAAATTCTTCACTCCAATTTTTCAATACATCACATGAACATTTGGAATTACACACGTGGGTGTGTATTTGCATGTGTTGGAGAGGAGGGAAGTAACGGCCATATTTAGAACACGTCGCCCCCCCCTCCCTTCTCTCAGAAAACTGAGCCTCTTTTCCAAAGAGCAAGTGCCTGGTGACAGTACCACACAAGTGTTAGGTCATCTCTGGCCAGTGGCCATCCGAAGAAGAGGGTGGGCATTAATATTTAAGGACTTCTGAATCCTTCTGAATCCTTCTGTGCCAGGCACTCTCTTTAACCGGTAACACCTAGTGTCTCATGTCTTCCTTACAGCTGTCCTACCCTCCTTTCACAGATCAGAATGCTGCGAGATAAGCCCTTTGATTGGGGCCACACGACCCGAAGTGGCCCGGCTGGGATTGGAGCCGGGCCTTCTGACGCCTTCATGCAGAAGGCAGCCGATCGATGTTTCTCTCTCCCTCTCTCTTCCCTTCTCTAAAATCAATAAAAGTATTTTTAAAGACAAACCCAAGAACAAGGGGCATAAACCAACCTGCACACTGGGGGCTGTCAACCAAGTCAGAAAAGAGGTTGCCTCTCCTTCTTGCTGACTTCGAAGTCCTCTCACTCGTGCTTTTTCTCTTTTTGCTTTGAAGATGGAGGTGCCGCGGCACAGAAGGTGACCCCACCGCCATCCCCAATGGAGGGAAGAAAGAGTCCAGAGGGCCAGAGGCGCCCGGACGGCCTGAGGACGGCAGCCCATCGCAGCCCCGCCGGCCCCAGGGGAGCACTGCCAGCAGAAGGACCAGGTAATCACCCCAGGGTGCCTGGAAGCCCCCGGCTTGGCTTGTCTGTGGCCTCAGGTGCATCTTAACCATCTTGCAGGGCCACCAGGCAACAGTGATGTAAGGGATCTGATCCCACCCTACGGAAAGGGGGAATCGGCCGTGTTTCCAAAACGTCAGTGGGATTCGTGTTCAGTTCATGTTTAAGGGTTTGCTGCACCGGCACCAACCGCCACGCTGCCCTATCCGCTCGTCACGCCTGGCGCGGCGTGTGATGCCACAGCTCCCTGCACCCCTCAGGGAGACGCGCTCCTGGGTCTGCCAGACAACTCAGCCCCGAGCCATAGCCCCCAGGGGCCAGGGAGCCTAGAGGGGCTGGGGGTGGAGGGGAACTCCCTGGAGGAGGCGGCATCCGCCCGGGGCAGAGCCCAGGTCTGTGCACAGAGAAAGAAGGCTTCCAATTTTTAAAAAAATATACTTTATTGATTTTTTACATAAAGGAAGGGAGAAGGAGAGAGAGTTAGAAACATCGACCAGCTGCCTCCTGCACAACCCCAACTGGGGATGTGCCCGCAACCAAAGTATAATACATGCCCTTGACCGGAATCAAACCTGGGACCCTTCAGTCCACAGGCCGCCGCTCTATCCACTGAGCCAAACCGGTTTCTGCAAGGCTTCAATTTTCATTGAAGGGTGAGATAGGCCAAGGCCACACCCTCTGTGGCTTCGTTCTCACTCTTAAGAGCTGACAGTCTCAGAGACTAAGATGCTTATACAAGAGCAACAATGCGAAGACAGTACAGTAACAGCTTCCACGGGGCTTTGATCTAAAAGCAGCTCATAAAGCTAAAATTGCTTCGAGTCCAAATTGCCCCTGAAAATCCCATTGGGAGGTGCCAGGCTGGAGACAGACAGGCCATTTTCTAGAAATTGCAGCCCAGCCAGCTCTCCCTCCCTCTTCGCAGCCTTGGGCTGCTTCCCCGGTGGAGCACCAGACGAAGGAAGGAGGCGGTGTGCGCCTGGGCGGCAGACAATGTGAAAAAAGCATCTGTTAGCGGGTGGAATCACACTCAGAGCTGCGGAGACACTCCGGGCACATGGGACCCAGCCACCAAGGAAGCAACAGTCACCGCATCTTTCACTTTCACCATTGTCAGCTCATGCTCGCCCAGAGACAGATACCTTTATTTAACTCTCTGTCTCCCTCTCTCCCCCTCCCTCTCTCTCTTCCTCCTTCTCTCTGTCTCTCTCTCTCTCCCTCGCCCTCTTCCTCTCTCTGTCTCCACACCCTTCCGAACATGTATACTGACATCTTACAATCATAAATTAAGTGCATAGGTCCATAATTAAACACATGCCTCCATTGTGTTTACAGCTTCTCTGTTTAAGGCTGAAATGGGCAGAATTAAATCCCCTTCCTCCCTGCAGCTCTCTCCCGTTTCCCCCAAAACGTGGTTGTCACTTATAAACCGTTTCAGAGACAGAGCCCCTCTGTTGCAATCCCTTCCCTTTACACTCGCAGCCACTGCTGCTTTCTTAGTTCTGATACAAACAAGCCACACACTGGCCACCACATGACAGCAGCAAGGGCACCCCTGGGAGGCTGTATAGCCCAGGACGAATCACACACCACACATACACACACACACACACACACACACACACACACACACACACACGCGCGCGCGCGCATGCGCACACGCGCACACACAGGCACACACATGCACAAGCGCACACACACACACACTCTCTAACCCAGCCATCCTTATAAAGGGCAAATCTCTAGAATGAATGCCAGAGCCATGACTATGACAAGAGTGCAGCTTGAAATCTCAGGTGTATAGGTTGGGTGTATATAAGTGGAGGTGTGTATGAGGACACATGTATGAAGAAGGCAGATAATACGCATGTATGCCTGCAAACAATGGGTATGCATTGAGGTTGTATATCCTTTTCATGGGTGGTATACATATATGTACATGCATGCACAGCTGCATGTGTGGGGTGTGCATGGTTGCTTTGTGGACATGCCTATATACATGTGTGTGTGCACATCTCTGTATAAATATGTGCTTGTGTCTTCATTCATGCACGTCATGCCTCTGTGTATACGTGTGTGTGCTTGTGTACTTGTAAACGTCTACTTCGCTGGTGGCCAACTCGACTCCTGACCCTTTGCCTTGGGGATGGGGAAGGTGAGGGTAAACAAGCACCTTCCGTCTTTCTAAGCAACTGAAGGAATCCAGCTTCCTTCTCCCCTTGGCCTGAGCCCCTGGAGCCACTGAACGGCCCCAGCATTGGTCTGAGGCATGGCTGGCCATGCTGGAGGAGAGGGGGCAGAGGCTGGCATCACAACCTGTGCCCAGGGCTGTGCTTCTCACGCAAGGTGCCCCTCGCCAGCCTCGCCTGGCCCCTGAGGGCTGCTTGAGCCCCAAAGGGCTGCCTTTTCCAGACACAAAGTCATGCTGTAAGCTAGTGGCAGCCTGCTCTGCTCATCCCACCTTCACCTCCAGAGGACAAGCACCTAACGAGGCTCCTGCTCTCTGAACCCCAGGCGCAGGGCTGACCTTGGACTCCAGCGGGCCCTGAGCACAGCAGCCTTTTCCCACCAGATCTGGGCAGCACAGGCCAGGCTCAGCCGCCCTCCCCGCCCTGGGGCTAACACTGCTCCTGCGTGGGCTTTGTTGCCGGGTCCACGGAGGAGGCGTCTGCCTGTCCTTCCCGGGCCGACCCGAAGCGAGCCGCTCCTGGCGGGGGGAAGTAAGACAATAAATCCCAGGCCAGCCTCCTCTTCACAGGGAAACGCTTTACCTGCAGCTTCCAAAACTTCCCGGCGGCAGAGACATCATTAAACACAGACGCGAGTCAGCCGGTTTCTCCCTCTCGCTGACACAGAGGCGCTTCTGTAGCTCAGACATAATAACCCAATGTTTGCACAACAAGTTCCCTCTTGCTGAGCATCTGGAGAGAGAAGTCCCGCGCAACGGCTCGGAGGAGGGCTGATGGGCCGTGCTGATGCCTGATGGGAAAGATAAAGGCCTGCTGGTATGTGCCCAAACCAAACACCACCTTCTCCCCTCTCTCCGAGCGAGCGCCTTCCGGAGGTGGAGGTGGCTAACTGGTAATCCGATCGGGCAACCTTGTGAGGTGTGTGTTGGTTCATGGCTGTGAATCATCTGGCTCCTGACAGAGAGCAAGGCCGTTTCCAGAATCCCTTCTGGCACGTCCCCTTCTTGGAAAAAAGGAGATGCCGGCTCTGGGCCGCAGCCACCCTGCAAAGGGGGGAGGAAAATGAAGTCAGAGGGTGATGAGTGTCGACCACCAGGAACCATCAGGGCGTCTGTGCAGGAGTCGCGCAGCCAGCGGGCCTCTGGCTGCGGGAGAGCGCGGTCTGCGCGCGGCTGGTGGGTTATGTCATGGCTGGCTTGGTACGAAGAGCGTGGATTCAGGGCCAAGAGAGCTGAGCAGCCCTAGCTTGTCCTCTGTGTCGTCAGATGATTTTGGGTCGGTTCCTCGCTGTGTCCAAGTTCCTCATCCCCTCTGGAGGGAGAGACCTGCCTCCTCCACGGACAGCTGCTGGGACGCTCCCTGTTTATGGCTGCACGTTTCACGTTGTGTCTCTTGTTGTGGTTGACCTGGCCACCTAGGACCTGGTTTCCAGAAACCGGACTGCATTTGGTTCCAAATTCAGTGCTCAAGCACTTCCATCATCGTGACAGGAGTCTAAAAATAACGTGGTTCCGACGTGGCGGGGGCGGGAGTCAGGCAGGTGGAGGCCACTGTCATTGTGACACAGCTGGTGCAACAGCTGGAAAGCAAATGTGAGTCTGCTCACCTGCTGCACTTCTGTGCTCTCCTTTTCCGGGAGAAATCGCTCCCCTTTTGGCAAAGCAGGAGTCAGAAGCAGGAGAGGGACGATTTAAGTCTGCTGTCACGTTGTCCGTAGGATGCTTCAGTCATTTCAACATCCCTGGCCCCTTCCTAGCACAGTGCCTGATGCATCCATAGCAGGATCACAGTACGTGCCGCTGGAAAGCCTTTCATAACTTTTCTACAAGAGAGAGAGAGAGAAATGAAACTCATGCTGAATAAACGGAGACTTGCCTGCCATCTTGTCCCACCCCGTGAACATTAACCCAACTTACCTTTCCAACCGAAAGGTGTTCATGGTGAGCTTGTTGAATGAATGAATCAGTCACCGCCCCTCTCTGGCCTTTCCTCCGTGAGTCTTTAGTCTTTTTTTTTTTTTAATATATTTTTTATTGATTTCAGAGAAAGGAAGGGAGAGGGAAAGAGAGATAGAAACATCAATGATTGATCGGCTGCCTCCTGCACACCCCACCCTGGGGATCGAGCCTGCAACCCAGGCATGTGCTTATGTACTTATGAACCGTAAGCTCTTGATTCATAGGTCGACACTCAACCACTGAGCCACACAGGCCGGACTTTTATTTTTCATTTAGGGGACGGGGGACTTTTAGTCTTAATGGTGCTTGGAAGTTGCCCTGGAAGGTGAAGTAGGACCTTAAACCCACATCTCCCTACAAGGTCCATAGGACAGATCTAGCTTTCTAAGAGTCTATTAATAGGAAAAGTTTATTGTTTTGTCTTGTTTTGGTTTAAGAAGCAGTTTACTGGAAAAAATAATTTATATCTTGCAAAGGGTTTGCTCCAACCACACCAAACTCTTTGCAGCTCAGTTTGTTCGGGTCCACCTTGATCACTGTCCTCTCCCTACCCGTCCAATCTCAGCTCCCACTATACTCAGGCCTACCCTGGCGATCAAGCCCCAAACATTCTGTCTTTCTGCTCTTACCTCCCAGCCTTTGCCCAAACTCCCCCAAATAGAATATAATTTAAGTTCTAGGGCAAGGCTTATCTTTTCTGGGACATTTTCCTTCATAAATCCATCTCATCACATAGAGCTGCCCGGATGTAGCCTCCCATCATTCCTCTCTCTCAGTCCCACTTTTGTGATTATTGTATTTATCCTCATCTGTTTTCTGTTTAGCTCCCAAATGGATGAGTCCTAGAGAACCTCTTATTTTTATCATCTGTTCAAGACATGCTGTTGATCGACTGAATACTCCAGGTGCCACAAAGGAAAGTTCTTTGGGGATCATAGTTTGTTGTTTCATGGTGGTTGTTTTTTAATTTAAAAAAAAAAAAATCTTCAGTAAAAGGAATGAATATGATGACTTGTCTTTCTGAGACTTTCAGACTTTGTCAACATCTATTTGGAAATAAATTCTTAGGCAATTAGGTCATGATATGTTGCTTTCAGACAGAATAGAGAGATGAATATAAACCTTCAGAAAAAAGGGGGGGGGGGGGAGAGAATCTGAAGATTGGAGATGGAATTTGACCCTCTTGGTCATGTTGGGGCATTGCAACACTCAGAAAATTTCAGAGACTTAAAGAAAAAAAAGAAGAGAAAAGTTAACTTGGAAGGATACAAGTTAAAATACTGGATATGACCTCTAAATTGCTTAGTCTTGATTCAAATATATTTGAATCTATTGTCCTAATTGCAGCAGCAGCAATAGAAGTTTTCTTTCAAAAGTTCTTTTGTTCAGAAATTTTTTACTGCAGGAAGTTCAAGGATAGCTATGTTAATGATTTAGGACTTCAGTTCCCATGTAAATTTAAATTCCTGATCTCTTTCAGAATTTCCAATTCACACTGGTTCTTGTCCTAAATGGATTTTCACCTCCAGAACATGTCCTGTTTTCAGTAACTTACGGTAATTAGCATCCTTGTCTCTTGCAACTCTTGTTGGAAAAGCAGGGGGTTGCTATCTGCCAGGGAGAGACAGCTCACACCCTCTTAAGGGGCCAACACATAAAACTGTGTGTGCAGCCACTCAGCTTGGGCTCAGGGTTTTAAAATACTGGGGGCGGGCAAAAGTAGCTATGAGTACACTAAACAGTCTATTCTCTGTATTATTACGTATTCATCAGTTATTGTGCTATTTGTTATTATTCTTAACCTACTTTTGCCCATCCCCGGGTGTCTGAAAATCCTCTGACACTTGTTCCTTTAAGAGTGAGAGCCTAGCCCAGATGATGTGGCTCAACGGTTGAAGGTCAATCTATTCCAATATAAGCCAAGAGGTCACAGTCAATTCCCGGACAGGACACATGCCCGCGTGGGGGTGTGCAGGAGGCAGCTCATCAGTGATTCTCTCTCATCATGGGTGTTTCTCTCTCTCCCCCTCTCCCTTCCTCTCTGAAATGAATAACTATACATTTTTTTCTTTGTTTTATTAATAAAAGTTTATTAAGCTTAGTTCTTCCTCCTCTTTGAGCTATTGAGATACTGGTTTTTTATTTTTATTTTATTGATTATGGTATCACATTATTGTCCTCATCCCCCCATTCCCATCCCAAACCCCTCCCTACATATGCCCCCACCCCCCTGTTGTCCATGCCACTGGCTAGGCCCATATGCATGCACCCAAGTCCTTTGATTGATCTCTCCCCCTTACCCCCACCTTCCCTCTGAGGTTTGAGAGTCTGATCGCTGCTTCTCTTTCTCTGGGTCTGTTTTTGTTCATCAGTTTATGTTGCTCATTATTTCCTCTAGATGCGTGAGATCATGTGATCCAAGAAATACCCTTGTAAGGACGTACATTTTCTTTTTTTATTGATTTTTTTTACAGAGAGGAAGGGAGAGAGATAGAGAGCCAGAAACGTCGATGAGAGAGAATCATCGACCAGCTGCCTCCTGCACACCCCCCACTGGGGATGTGCCTGCAACCAAGGTACATGCTCCTGACTGGAATCGAACCTGGGGCCTTTCAGTCCGCAGACCGACGCTCTACCACTGAGCCAAACCGGTTTCAGCAGAACATACATTTTTAATAAAGTGAGAGAGCTTAATTCTCCCCCTCTTGAGAGTGGGCCAGACACAGCGGCCACTCGGGGAAAACATAGAACCTCCCGGCTGTGAGGTGAGTGACTGCGCCGACTGCGTCACAAAAGGCGCTTCCGGTTCCAAAATGGCGGCGGAGTGGTGGCAGCTACGTTGACACACTCGCAGAACCAAACTGTAATTATAACTGAAATACAGAAAAACCGTCCTGCATAATCCACGGAGGTCTAGCTGCCGAGAACCCTGATACCTGAGGACAAGACGCAGAGACCGTATAGAGACTGTTAGGACAGGCGGAGGTGAGAAAGGCCTGCCTGGGCCTCCACAGGCAGCACCTGAAGCCCCAGAGAGAGATATCTCAGCTCTGGGGGGTTGCCCCTGGGAATCTGGGGTCTAATCCCCAAGCTGGGCTCCCCAGCAGAGAGCACAAGGAACTGAGACCGGTGCCCACATAACAGCTGGCTGCGAAAAGCAGGGGGTTGCTATCTGCCAGGGAGAGACAGCTCACACCCTCTTAAGGGGCCAACACATAAAACTGTGTGTGCAGCCACTCAGCTTGGGCTCAGGCAGGGGGAGGGCAGAGTGGACTGGAGCTGTGTGTGCAGAAGCCAGGGTTGGAGGGTCTGGGGTTAGAGCTCAGAAGGCAGACACCCCAGTTTCCTGTGCCAAGTCTTCCTCATGCAGTCAGAGGAGGACTTCTTTTTCTTGCAGATCTTTACCAGTGAGGCAGCTTCTTGCCTGGGGGGAAGAACTTGTCCCACCCTGTGGGAGAACATATTCAGCAATGATACATCTGATAAAGGGTTAATATCCAAAATATAGAAGAAGCCCTAGCTGGTTTGGCTCAGTGGATAGAGCGTCAGCTTTCAAACTGAAGGGTCCAAGGTTTGATTCCGGTCAAGGGTACATGCCCAAGTTGCAGGCTCAATCCCCAGTAGGGGGCATGCAGGAGGCATCCAACCAATGATTCTCTCTCATCATTGATGTTTCTCTCCCTCTCTCTCTCTCTCTCTCTCTCTCTCTCCCTTCCTCTCTGAAATTAATAAATATTACATATATATATATATATATATATACACACACACACACACACACACACACACACAACTTAGCAAGTGGAAGACAAACAATCTAGTTTAAAAATGGGCAAAGGACTTAAATAGACACTTCTCCAAAGTGGACATAAAGATGGCTAAGAGACATGAAAAAAATCTGAAAGTGACTGATCATCTGAGAGATGCATATTAAAAGGACAATGAAGTATCACCTCAAACCCGTCAGAATGGCTACCATTAACAATTCAACAAATGACAAGTGCTGGCGAGGATGTGGAGAAAAGGAAACCCTAGCACATTGCTGGTGGGAATGCAGACTGGTGCAGACATTATGGAAAACAGTATGAAGTTTCCTCAAAATGGAGCTGCCATTTGATCCAATGATCCTACTTCCAGGAATATATCCTATGAATCCTGAAACACCAATCAGAAAGAATGTATATACTCCTATGTTCACAGCAGCACAATTTACAATAGCTAACATCTGGAAACAGCCCAAGTGCCCATCAGTAGATGAGTGGATAAGAAAGCCATGGCACATTTACACCATGGAATAGGATGCAGCAATAAAAAAGAAGGAGCTCTTACCCTTTGAGACAGCATGGAGGGACCTGGAGAGAATCATGCTAAGTGAAACAAGCCAGTCAGAGAAAGACAAGTATCACATGATCTCACTCATATGTGGAATCTTATGAACGAAATAAACAAACAAAATAGACCCAGAGACATAGAAGCATGCAACAGACGACCAAATCTCATAGGGAAGGCGGGGGAGGGTGGGTGGGAGGAAAGAGATCAACCAAAGAACTTGTATGCATATATGCATAACCCATGGACATCGACAATGGGGTGGTGGAGGCCTGAGGTGGAGGGACAGGGATGGACTAGAAGGGGTCAATGAGGGGAAAAGAGGCATGTGTAATACTTTCAATAATAAAGATTTTAAAATATATAAAAAATAAAAGGCACTCTGCCTTGCTTTCCCTTTTGGAGTACTCATTCTGGGGAAAGCCAACCACCAGGTATGTCATGAGGAGTGAATGAGCTCTGCAGGCTTGTGCGTGAGCCACTGTAGAGGGGATGCTCCCGCATCAGAGACCTCCAGGGACTGCATCCCGAGCTGACTTAGGGACTGCGGCCTCCTAGGAGACTCTATCCCAGAACCACACACCTAATCCTCTCCCGGATTCCCACAGGAACTGTGTGAGATACAAAAGTTTGTTGTTTTAAATCACTAGATTTAGGTAACGTGTCTCCAGTAATAGATAATATACATGGTGTCATTTCCTGGTGGTCTGCAATTTGCTAAACAAAAAGATAAAGGATCCAAGAATATCCCAGCTGCTCTCAAAACACTGATAATTTTGGGGGGCAAACATATGCTCCCGGGTTGACGTCCTCTTTGTTCTCCCCATTTGTCATGTGTGGTAATGTTGGTGGTGGGGACCATGGGTACAAGGATCCTTCGGTGTTGGTGGGACAGTTGACAAAGTATGATTTTCCCGGGTAGCTTTTCTCTCAGCAGCGACTGCTCTGGTGAAGATGCTTGGCATGTAAAGGACAGTCCTTTAGATGAGGCAGCGTGAGGAAGAGGAAAGAACTCTAAAATTTCTCAGTCTTGACTCTACCACCATGATTCCTGTGACCATGGGCAAACCATTTCGCTGCTTTGAAACTCCGCTGCCCGCAAGGACCCCACAGTCCGTCTGAGGACAGATTCTCAAGCAACTGACAACTATAAGGCAAGATGAGTGCTGTAAGAGATGCCTAAATAACAGAAGTCGGGGTGTTCAAGGAAGGAGCGGTTCATTCTAATCTAGGGGACGGGAGCCGGTTTTTCCAGAGAATCTCCATTTGCACTGACTTTTGAGAAAGAGTCGAAGTGGATAAAGAGAAGACGGAAAGGCATAACCAGCGGAGGGTACAGCATGAACAAAGACGAAGAGATAGGAAAGCAGGGCATTCATTCGTATGGGATGATGTGGGAGAAGGACGGGGTGCCGAATGGACTGCGGAGGGGCTTCATGGTGGGGTGGGAGCTGAAAGACAGGCCAGGGCCAGACCAAGGAAGGCCTCCTATGCAAGGAGAGAGCCGAAACGCCGCTTCTCAGGCAATAAGGAGTCACAGACGTTTGAGAAGGGATGTCCCACCAGCCAACGTGTGCGCCAGCATGCAGAACCCGCAAGAGAAAAGGTCGTGAGCTTGGGCTACTGCAGAATCATCCAGACCAGTGGTCTGCAAACTGTGGCTTTCCAACAGCTCTGTCGACTAATGAGTTTGCCGACGACTGCCTTAGGGAAAAACACTTTTAAAAAGTTTTAATAATGTCCTAATGTCTTTAACCTGAAGTCAAAACTTCTGGGTAAGGGTAATGCCTTACACAGTGGTCATCAAACTCATTGGTCAACAGGGCAGCAAACCGTGGCTCTCGAGCCGAAGTTTGCCGACCACTGGTCCAGATGCTAGCGGATAAGGACCATGGACAGATACAGAGGGAAGGTCCCCAGGCGACCCATGGGCTGTGGGACCGCCACCAGCGCCCTGCATCGGAGCAGCAGCAACAAGCCTGTTTGTAGAGCATCTTGACAAAATCAGCTACAATCCTCATCTCTTATTTTCTGCTCAAATCACCTTTTTTTTCTGTTTTCACTTCCAGTTGAGAGGATGAGTTTGGGGAGAGGGTGTGTGTCTCGTCTATTTTAATTGAGATAAAGCAGCAATTAAGTCCCTGGAGCCTGAGTCATTCCCATGAGGCACAGCCCTCTCCTGAGTGGTACTCAGCTCCGGCCGCCTCCCTCATTTTAAGTCAAACTC